GCGAAGGATTGTTGAGCAAGCTCAATGTACTTTGCAACTTGCGCCTTTCGAACAGACTTTTATAGAGACCTGTCATTGGTAATGTACTTTAGGGGTGCATTCACTTGGCTATGGTGCCGGCACTTCCATGGCAGTTCAGATCATCGCCTGATTAACTATTCTTTTACTCCATACTGCAAACACGAATTAATTAATGGATGCCTATGGCACTTATTTGTTTTTCATTTTCGTCATTATCTTGATTAGCTAGATCTGTATGCCTTCTACCTCTCGTAAAGCCCACTGTACTTTCTACTGTCTTTAAAGCTATTCGCTTCAAAGCGCAGAGTTGCCCCGGTTCCGTTCTTTCACTTTGCACACTGTCTTCCATGTCACCATTTAAATGTGAGTAGCAGACTGAAGTTCGTGTAACATTTTCCAAATGCATCCAGCATTCGTTCCCTGATATTGTCTTTTCGTTATTGGAATCTGGACTCAGAAAAGAACGTCCGTCATTTATGGGTCCCTTTTTTATTTTCAGAGTATATTTTACTGTGCAATGAAATGATTCAGAATCTGACTTGGATAAATCGAGTTCATTTGTGACGAGTGCGATTCACTAGCTACTTTACCAGATCTGTACTGGTAGTTGTACTTTTCACACTGCAATGTGAAGCAGTCAGTGAGTTCCTGAGATCTTCTGCTTTCCCATGGTTAAGTGTCTGGTAAGCGACTGCACAACTCCGGCAACTTCGCTTTGCCATACGGGCAGAAGCCAAGAGCTGCGTGGTGGCGCAGTTCATAAGAAGTTTGCTTCAAACTCTGGATTGAGTTCCGAGTTCAATTCCGGGCGAGGGTAATCCTTCTCTTAACCACTATTTCCCTTCAGCAAGAAATTTACTACACGTTGCTTCAGACCAAAGTTGCTTAGTCAGTAAAGCGTCCGAGTCAACCAACTCAAAGCGAATGGTTCCGTGTTCGAGGCCGGTCGAATCGCTCTCCTTCCTTCCTTCCAAAGAAGGTAAATTGGTGCCACTCTGTGGAAAAAACACAGGAGGCAACAAACTATGCGTGTCATGCAGCGGATGAGGTCTCTTCTTTTATAATAAGGAACTTATGGCGGATAGCATAAAAATGGCGATCAGCACTCCACCTCTGACTTCATGGAAAAAAAAGCATTGAAAATGGCTACAACTTGAAGGTGAAAATGAACAAGAGAAATCATAAATAAAGAATAAAATTCTTACAGTTACACACTTCCCATTTCTGCCTTTCCAAAACCACTGCTTACATGGAGATAGACAATCGACTGAAAGCTACTTTGTATTCATAAAATTCGACAATTAATATTCTGATCATTAGCTGTCTTCATTTTTTGCCACTTTTATTCTGCCGCATTTAGAATCTGTCCCTCATCGGCAAAATCCAGTTCCAACATTATGCAAATTAGGTCATTATCGTGAGTCTACTACTGATACATAAAATATTCTCTTGAGTAACTGAATTTACTTCTGTGGTCAAGCATAAGAGCTTTACTTTTGCATAAGCCTTCATCTTCCTCATTTACTGGTAAATAACTGAAAGCAAACTTAACCGTGGGAAATAGCGCCGTTTCGACTCTGCGCATAAACAATAGCAGCTTAAGAGATGATCGTCGATTTTGACGGCCCCATGGTTGTTGAATAGCAGGTCGAAGGTAAATTGCACATGTTAAATCATTCACGACATTATCTTCAGTCTCGCATCATCTAATGTTCATCAGGTAGACTCACAAGATATGGATGAATACCGAGATTAGTATTCCATCCTTTTGTTCCAAAAATAGTCGCATTTTTTAGGATTTATCCTTGTGCACACACTTTATTAAGACAGTGAATAATGAGAGATGCTTCTGGCACTGCGGATGCTCAAATCACGTGAAGCTGTGACCTGCATAAATGACCTCCCTAGGCAATTATGAATAAGGATCGATGCAACGAACAATAATATCTGATCTTGGACGATTCACTCGTTGTTTATTCGCTGTTGTGTATAGTTTCTTGAAGTTGTGAAAAATTGACTGTCTTGATCCTAGCCAGTTTGCCTAACACTGAAAATTTTACTTTCAGGCGAAACCAGTGGTCGTGCTAACGCAAGAGAAGCCTCAAGGTTTCTCCTCAGCTCTCCTCAGCTAGTCACCAAGAGTCGCTGGAACATGATGCTGATGCAGTTTGGCCAGTTCCTCACGCACGACGTCACGCGTACCTCGCTGCTGCCAACCGACCGCTGCGGAAACTGCAACGAGATCTCTGGTCGGTGCCTGCCGATCAGGGTAGAGAACAACGACCCTCGTTTCGGGTGCAGAAGCCCGCAGTGCTGTCTGTTTTTCACCAGGTCCAGTCCTCTGTGCGGAACAGGTGTGTCGGTGGTCGCTGTCATTGTTTGACTCAGATGTGCGACAAGTGTAAGTTTCAGGAATCACTCAGGCTAGAATGCAAGTCAACGAAAACACGGCTTTCATTGACGGCTCAGCCATTTACTCAAGCTCCCTGCAGGATTCAGCTCGTCTACGAGAGCCAGGATCCGGAAGAATGAGGTTCACGTTTTTCAACAACCACATAATGCCTCCGTTCAACCCGCAGACCTGCGCTAACCCTCAGAATTGCAACGCCAATTTCGACGTAGGCGACAACCGTGCGAGTATATTCAATGCCCTCGTCGGCATGCACGCGCTGATGATCCGAGAGCACAACCGGATCGCGACCGCCCTTGGACAACTGAACCCTCGTTGGTCCCCCGACCGGATCTTTCAAGAAACGCGTAAAATCATTGGTGCTGAGATTCAGGTCATCACGTCGAAAGAATGGCTGCCGAAAATAATCGGAAATTCCTATGACACCATTTACGGCCGTTACAGGCACTACGATCCGTCGGTGGACCCGTCGATATTCAACGAATTCGCCACCGCAGCCATGCGTTTTGGTCATGGAATGATTACCGAGTTCTACGAAAAACGCACTGACAACGGTCACGTTCCTCAAGGAAAAGTGAGGTACTCATCGCCTTCGTTTTCGACATGTATACAGCAGCATATAAATTATGCTTGCATAAAAACTTGACGTGAAACAGCACCACCCTTCATCTCATCTGGATGGCAAGGACCTTGAAAAATCTCGCAAATCTAGTGAATTCATACACTTGTAAGGTCAAGAGGTGACATCGAGTATATATATATCGAGTATATCCTGCAAAAGTAACGATCAGGAGGGGCAATCGATCCATACAGGCATAGATTGAAACTGGTTGGCGGTT